GGGAAAGCCCAAGGCTACTTTCAAAATGACTTCTGGGCTGGGCACAGTGGCTCACACCTGTGATCCTAGCACTCTGGGAGGCTGAGGCGGGCCAATCATTTGAGCTGAGGAGTTCGAGACCAGCCTGAGCAAGAGCGAGACATGGTCTCTACTAAAAAATAGAAAAAATTAGCCAGGCATGCCTGTACTCCCAGCTACTTGGGAGGCTGAGGCAGGAGGATCGCTTGAGCCCAGGAGTTTGAGGTTGCTGTGAGCTAGGCCGACATCAAGGCACTCTAGCCCGGGCAACAACAACAACAAAAAATGACTTCTATATTCTATTCTAAATTTCTGGACCAAGTTAGATCCACTCCATGCTTATCTGTGCTCAGTTTTCCTCCAGGCATGTAGTGGGAAGAAAACAGCTTACTCTGTGCTTTTAAGGTCAAACTATATTTTTGAAAGATTTTCTAAAATGTTTACTTCACTAAGCTGCTCTGATTCTGAGATAGTCTCCTGAGAAAATGAAACTATGAAACCAACAGTGATCAAGAGCAGTGAGAGAAGGCAGGATATCCTTTAAAGAAAGCAAGATAATACATAAACCAAACTTAGGGAAATATAGGAGGCAAAAGTATTTAAACTAGGAACAATTTATTACTATAGGAGATGACAAGAAAACAACCAACCTGTTTCTAAGGCCAAAATGAGATTTATAAAAATGAGTGTTAGCTAAGGTGAATTTAGGCCAGGACATCCCAAACTATTGCCTTTTGCCTCTTAAAAAACACTGATTAAAAAGAGTGACACTATCTAATCACTATTTATAGTGTGCCCTTATGGTGTCCTGTACTGTACTTTTAGATGAGGTGAGCACCAAAAACGGGTTATTGGTCCTTGTGGAATATGAAATTTGAAAGCACCGAAGACTCAAATAGTCAAAGGAATAAAATTCTTAGTAATGGCATAACCTCCTTGAGGAAAAATGATTGCTTTTAGCAGTTATTCCTGCAGGGGACACTGAGCTCAACAGAGAGTAGGGCATCCAGAAAAGGGCCAGGATGTCCTGGCAGGGAGCGAGACCATCCTCCTCCCTGTTCTTAGGTCACATGGAGCAACAACACAAATCCCGGTCTTGTGCCTGCTGTCTTTAGTCTTTATCTCCATCCCACCTTGCATGGTGAAGGTCCATACACCCCCTTCCCTAGAAGCCTCATTGCCCATGAGCCTTCGAATATTACCTCTCTGCTAATAACTCCCCAAATCAAACCTCCAACTCAGATCTTTCTGGATAAGGTGCTATGCACACCCTAGGAACCCCCAAGATAGGTCCCATGCCCCAAATCAGAACTCATTCTCACTCCTGGATTCCTGACTCTGTTAGCAGAGCTGCTGCCCTCTTCCCAGTCACTCAAGTTACAAAGGTCAGAGTCGTCTCCCATGTCTCCTCTCACATCCCACATCTACTCAGTCACCAGGCCCTGCTACCACTCCCTCCACCGTGTTGCTTTTGAAATTTGTATGACTGTAACTGTGTATTTGTACAGCTACAAGGCTGTACAGGGAAAAGCCTCCCCTCTCCCAGCCCCACATTTCCTCTCCCCATGAGCAACCTGCGTTATCTCTTGTGTGTCTTCCAGAGATGCTGTATGCATTTACAAAGAAACATATATTCCCCTTTCCCTCCTTATTTTTTACACAAATGGTAGCACACTATATACAATCCTACTCCTTGTTGTTATTTTTTCACCTGATGTATCTTGGCAATCTTTCCGAATCAGTACCAAAAAATATATATATATATTATCTTGCTTATGGTCAGTAATAGCCCTGAAACAGGTTTTGAATTAGGGAAAGTGAGGAAGGCCTCAGAGAGCCTTGCAACCTGCCTTCTACCCTCCTGCCCAATTGACACTACTTCCTAGGTACTCCCTGGCTTCCTAATCATCAAATTCAATTGTCAGCTTTAGTTTTGATTTTCAAACTTTCTGTTGCATTCAGCACCTTAAGCCAGATTCCCGGGTCCCACCACTGGGGATTCTAATAGGTTCCATGATCCACGTTTTTAAAAAAATTTCCTGAGTTATCTTTGTGATCAGCCACAGATCACTCTCCTTTCTTCTTCGAACTCCTCCATTGGCTTTCATGACCCATTGGCATAATCCTACTCTTCAGCGCCAAGCCTCTCCTTTCTTTTCCAAGGCTGCTTTGCTCACTGGGGCAAGAAAGAACTATCCCTTTGTCCCCTGTCCCCAGATAACACACACTTCCCCCACAAAACCAGTAATGGACATGTGACCCAGGTTAGGCAACTAGAGTCCTTCCCCACCAGGGTTCTTCTAACTGATGTGGAAGATTTTTCCTCCCAGGTTGCAAAGCTATCAGACTATAGCCCACGCTGTCTGAGCTCACATGGCCTGCTGCATTGCAAAATCCACAGAGTAGGAGACAGTAGGACAGACAGACAGACAGAAACACGGGAAGAGTGGGGATGATATAGGTGGGGGAGGAGGAGAAAGCCATTTAACTTGACAGCATTCGAGTCCTTGGGCCTAGCCACCCCTGAAGCCAGATCCGTCCCTTTCCTCAGTTTGGTTCCACAAAACTATACATTCTCCTTTTTGGACTAGGCTAATTTGAGCTGAGTTTCTGTCACTTACAACCAACAAGGCTGTCCCTAGTCAATTCCTTAGCTGGCTCTTTAGCGTATGCTGTGGTGAAATTAACTTTTCTAAAGCAGACCTCAAACCACTTGCCTATTTCAAAAGCCAATGGGTGCCTCCCAACATCCGCGGGATTCAGGGCAACACCTTTCATGATATGTCCCCCAGTCTGACTTTCCAGACTTCTTACCACTTCACAAGAGACAAACCAGGAAATCTGTTACTCCTCAAATGTGTTCTGAATATCGTCCCTGCTTTGTGCCTGTGCCCATGCTGATCCTGCCCTCTAGAACACCCTCCTCCCCATCTCTGCCTATTAAAATCTACTCAGGAAAAAGAAAAGAAGGAAGATTGTCTACTTTATCAAGGTCCATTTAACCTTATTTTCCCCAAGAAGACTTTCTAAGTACTCCCTATTCCCAAAGGATGTTACTGAATCTCTCTTCAGTCCTGACAGCATTTCTCTATATAATCTTTGTTTTAATCTACCTTGGATTTTGGGCCATCTCATCTCAGGGTCCTTTTATTAATGATCAGACCAACCACGCTGAGTCAAAACTCTGAGGTTCACTTCCCCACCCTACAAACAAGACATTTACCAGGTTCACTCTAATCTTTCTCTTCAATATTTTTCAAATCAATCCCATTGTTCCTGTTACTCATCAGAACTCTCAACATCTCCTACCTTCATACCTCCTCCTCTAATAGGTCTCCCTGCCACCAGCCTTAACCCATCATAAGCTAGCTGGCTGTCTCCAGATACCAGTTATCTTTCCAATGTGCAAATCTGATCACACTAGAGAGTTAAGGCCAATGGCTCCACTCCCCGAAGGCTTGGCTTCTGTTTCCCTCCCCAAGCTCACTGCCCACCAGTCCCCAAGGAGCATCAGAGAATCCAGTCCGTTGGTTATTCCCTAACACCCAGGGTGTTTTAAGGCTGCTCACCTTTGTGCACATGGTCTCCTGTTTGGGAAGGCCTCCCCCAACTCTGCCTGGTAAAGTTCCCATCTTTCATTCTCTCTCCACTGAGTAGTCTTCTTAGACTGCCTGGGGTAACAGCACTTTTATAAACACCCACTTGATCTGGAAGGGATACCTTCCATGCATCTTCAGTGCCTGACACAAGGTCCAGCACAGCACAGATGCCCAGTAAATTGTTTAATAGGTACCAGAAGACTTTTCTGGCAGAGAGGAGGTATTTGTATTACTTAGCAAAAGACCCAACTTTGTGCTTGGTCAGCTTCATTAGTGTCCAGCACCCTACTATTATATTCTTCACTTGACAGTACCTAGACGCCCTGTGGATGCTGACATCCCACACTTTTCCACTGATTGCACACCTGAGCGTACTGAGGGATGGTCCCTAGAGACAGACAGACCTAAGTCCAAACCCTGCTCTATCACTTACAAGCTGTGTGTCCTAGACAGGTTTCTTAACCTTGCAGAGACTCAACTCTCTTATCTATAAGGTGGAGATAACAGTAGCTACCTCACTGGGGGTTTTGTTTGTTTTGTTTTTTTATGAAGACTGAATGAGAAAATGCCTTTGGGATCTTTGGGCAAGTGCCTGGTACATAGGTGATGGATAAATATTTGTTGAATGAATGAGCTAATGAGTGGGCACCCATAAAGTGGTAGTGATTCTTAAAGACACACCTTTCTAACCCGTTTTCCAGAGAACCTGACATCTGGCTGCAGGTACAATCAGGTTTCAAGTCCGGTCCCGAGTGTGCGGTCCAGCCCGAGCCCGACCCCGCCCATTGCCACGTGCGGCAGAGTGAGGCTAACGAGCCAGGACGCACAGCTCCGGCATCCGCCGCTGGGCTCCTCCGCGCGGCCGCCGCGGGAGGAGCTAGCACTGCCTGGGTCACCACACAGCAGCCGCCTTCACAGGAGCCCCGCCCGCCCGGTTCTCGCCCAATTTTGCCATCCTAAGGCCGCCAATCACTAGGGTCTGGTCCTACCCCTAACCGACCCACCGACAGAGCCTGAAAGGCGCCTGCCCAGGGCGCTTCCGCTGTGTCTCATAGGCGCCCCCGCAGTCCCGCCCGCCCCCTTCTACGTCATCGCGCGGTGCACTGTGGGGCTTGTAGTCGAGGAAGGAGGCCGTGAGGGCCAGGTCCAAGGGACCACTGTAACTCGGGCCCGGCCCCAGCACGCCAGTGCTGCAGGGCCTCAGGTTATCACCACACCCTCTAGACACAAAATTCCTTCTAAGGAGTGATGAAGGAAGGAAGACCGGCCATCTCCTGGCCTGGCCTTTTACAGTAGCTGAAGCTCTGCATTCCCCTCCCCTGCAGTGCGCTGGGCCACCCAGGACCCTGGTTTACCAGGTGCGTCTGGATGAGAAAATTCAGTATTAAGTGAAAGCGTAAATCTCCGTTTCAGATCAAGGAGACGTTCAATTCTCATGTTCTCCTAAGAGGCAATTTATGGAAGGTATGATAGTGACTTCTGACTTCGCTACTTTCCATCAGGCTTCCGCCACAGAACTGGCAATCACGAATTTATCTCAGCCACGTGTACCTTCTACTTTCCAAACTGCATTACCTCGTAAGATCCTAAAAGCTACCAATGGTGCCCCATTGCCGAAGATACAACGTTCAAACCCCTTAACATCAGAATTATTTTGTACAGTGTATTTATTTAATAATTATGTGTGGCTCCTTTTTTTTAAAGCAGTCTTTCTCAACATTTGCAGTAGATGAGAATCACCTGGGCAGTTTTTTTTGTTTTTTTGTGTGTTTAAGAGGCTGAGTCTTGCCCCGTGGCCCAGGCTGTGGGCAGTGTCGGGTCATAGCTCACTGCAGCCTCGCACTCCTAGGTTGAAACAATCCTTCTGCCTCAGCCTCCCCAGTAGCTAAGACTACAGGCAGGCGCCACCATGCCTGGCAAGTTTTTTCTTTATTTTTGTAGAGACAAGGTCTTGGTATGTTGCCCAGGTTGGTCTCAAACTCCTGGCCTCAAGGGATCCTCCTGCCTTGGCCTCCCCAAATGCTGGGATTACAGCTGAGGAGCTTTTTAAAAATGCTAATGCTTGTGTCCCACGCTAGACCTCAGAATTTTGGAAGGATAGTGCAGACTTCTATACGTTTTCAAAGCTCCCTAGGTGATTTTCAAGTGCATCCAAGTTGAGAACTGCTGGTTTAATGCCTGTCAGCACTGCCTGAGCATACCCTCATGGATGGGAGCCTTTGCTTTGTGGCATCCCTGGTTTAAAGGGGCCTTCTTACCCCTCTATGCCTGATGAATGCTCATCCTACAAGGCTGAGCTCAACTGTTACCCCTTCTTTTCCTTCACCCTCCAACAGGTGAAGCATGTCATTCATACTTATTCTCTAGCACCTCTGGAGTTAGCCGGTTACTTGTCTGTCTCCCTGGATAATCTGGGAGTTCCTTGAGGGCAGGCATCCGAAGGTGTCCTCTTTTACCCACTCCAAATCCACTGAATCAGGCATAAATTGTGTTTTAAACCCAATAGGTGATTCTGATCCATGCCCCTACCTAGGAATTTGCTTCACAAAAGCACAGGGTTCAGTAAGCATCCATAAATATTTGTTGCATTGAACTGATGAAGCATCTCATTTGTTTTGAAATCAGTCATATTGTTCCACCTAGTTGCTTTTGAGTCCCCCTGTAAAACTAAGCACCCGTTTCTTGTAGTATCTTCTTCATTCATTACTTATTTGTTCACCCAATAAATATTATCATACACCATAACAAAGGCCTGGGGGTTCAAGAATAAATGAGAAAACACAGTTACCAGCCTATAGGAATTAGACTGATATAATGGTTATATTCTAGTTATTATTATAATTTCTTTTGTATTATATTGGAAGTTTTTCCTTCCATTTGATATCCAAGGGTAAGGAAAATATCTTATTCTCTAATATCCCTAGTATGTGGCTGGCATATAGAAGGCATTGTGTAGATGTTTATTGAATGAAGGCAACACATTTCATAGCACTTAACACAATTGTTAGTGTTTGTGTGATTATCTGATTAATGGCTATCTAGCCCATGAATGGTAAACCCCCTTACGACAGGAACTGAATCTATTTTGCTTGTTGTTCCTGGCCTAGGACTTGGACAGAATAAGTGCTCAATGAATATTGGTAAAATACAAGAATAAGACATCATTAAGAACAGAAATGGGTCAGGCGTGGTGGCTCACGCCTGTAATCCTAGCAGCACTCTGGGAGGCTGAGGCGGGCAGATTGCTCGAGGTCAGGAGTTCGAAACCAGCCTGAGCAAGAGCGAGACCCCGTCTCTACTATAAATAGAAAGAAATTAATTGGCCAACTAATATATGTAGAAAAAATTAGCCGGGTATGGTGGTGCATGCCTGTAGTCCCAGCTACTTGGGAGGCTGAGGCAGCAGGATTGCTTGAGCCCAGGAGTTTAGGTTGCTGTGAGCTAGGCTGACACCATGGCACTCACTCTAGCCTGGGCAACAAAGCGAGACTCTGTCTCAAAAAAAAAAAAAAAAAAAGGGAACAGAAATGCAATCTCCCAAGTGAACATTCACTCCTCTCTTCCTCTCCACTCTCCCTCAAAAGGTAAGAAGTATATTCTTCCTGAATGTTAAGGATTTCAAGTTATAATGGACATGAGCCCAAACTCAGATGATGCTTCTTTTACTTACTTACAGGTTGACCTGGGACTCTAGTTCCGAGTCTTTCGTTGGCCATGTCTGAAGGGGCTGGATGCCGAAGGAGAGCGAGGACTTTGCTTTCCACAGAAGGGTCTGTGCCATCTGACTCCCACAGGACCCCTTTGATAGCGGATCCATCAGCGGGCCTGGAGGCTGAGCTGCTGTCCTGAAGCAGAGGAGTTGGGAAAGGCACTGAGAAACAAAGAAAGGCAGGCAAACCCTGGCCTGTTCGGCCACTCCTCCCCGAGGCCAGCCCCACTCATAAGCTGGAAGGAAGGGAGACCTGAGGTAACCCCAAGACCTTTCTGCACAAAGGAAAGCAACACGGGTCAAATCCTATCACATCCCTCAGCCATGAATTAAGGCAGTGGGGTCTAAGGTGAAAGGAGGTCCAGTGAGCATTTGAGAAACACAAACTTACTTAGAAAAAGGCAATTTTAATTTGGTAAGGAAAGCCATGTCTAGAATGCCTTTGGAGGATCACCAGTGCAGGCACCATATGGCCCCTGGAGTCATCCAGGAGTACTTGGTTTATCTCCTGATTTCCAATTTAAAATCTCAAGAAAAGCCACAAAAGGGCCTAGGCTGGCAACAACACTGAGGACAAAAAGGACCAAAGCCCACATTTCAAGAGTATTGGCATATAGTGTGTAAGCAGTAAGTGCTTGTTAAATTAATAAATGGGAATAAATTGGGATGTGCCTGCTCCTTTCTCTGACGACACATCCAGGAAGGTAGAAAAGGCAGTTCTGGGATGAAAAGGCTGCTCTATTAGGAAATGTAGGCATCGTGCTCCTTCTGACTGGAATTATTTTCTGTGCTAATTAGCAGTGTTCTTCACTCAACTCTACCTCAAGTAACAAGCCAACAACACCCAATTACTTGGAAATAGGAAAAAATAAAAAAGCAATCTCGAATAACACTTTGGTCAAAAGGAGTCTCTTTGATATCTGCTTAAGAAAGACTGTGACAAGGCAAAAACCAAAGGTGTAATAGTTCAGAGCAGGGCTACACATGAGGACAGAGTCTGCTATACACTGGATGCCAAGACAGTGACTCCACATGGCCTGGGTATTTGGAGGCAGACAGGCACTGCCCACTTGTAAGCTGTGATAGTGGTGCCAAGTAGACCCAAGGCTGCAGGCATGTTAAAAAACCAACAAAAGTCACTCTAGTGACCTATGCCTGATGCAGGAAGGATTTAAGACCCACCTAACCCCCACCTGTCCCCTTTGTTCTTCCTTCTTGCCAGGTTCCCCTACTATTCCTCCTTTGTAAGTGATGACTCAGCTTCCCCCATCACGTTTCCTGGGCCCAAGAAACTACTTGCTGCCTGCCTGACCCAGACTGCAAGAGAATCTTACCCTTTTCCTGGCTTTGAGCCATCACTTATCTTGGCAGCAACTAGATAGACATCAAAGGCTCAAGCCTTCCACTTGTGAAAATAGGCAAGAAGCCAATGTTCTGGTATGTATTAGGTGTTCTTTACTCAAAGGAACCCCAAGTCTTCTAAAACCCAGTGTCACTGGAGTTTATGGCTGCCTTAGTGATAATCCAACAAGTGATAAACAAATAAAACACAAAGCAGGACATCAGGAATGAAAGACTTATTTTCCTTTTTTTTCTTTTGAACCTCCAGATTTCTGTTAATTACAAAGATGATAATTGTACGCAAAAGATTGATTAAGCGAGTGTTCTTAAAAGAAACCATTAAGGGAGTGGAGGAGGCAGGACAGGGAAGGGGAAGAAGCCAAGTGAGGCTTCAGTTTCAGGCAAAGCCCTGTGAAGGGCTGCTTCAATCTGCCTGAAGCTGTGCAATCCAACTTGGTAGCCACTAGCCACATGTGACTATTGAGCAGCTGAAATGTGGCAGTCGAAAGTGAGGTATGTAAGGGTAACACATATACTGGTGTTTGGAGACTTACAACAAATAAAAAGGAATGTTAAACATCTCATTAATGATTTTTTACACTGATTACCTATTGAATAAAATATATTATTGGAATTTTAATGTAGTTACTATAAAATTTAAAATCACATATATAGCTTGCTTTATATTTTGGACAGCGCTACTTGAGGTAAATGATGCCTCAGCATTGGCCTCTCCTAAGACAAGGGGCTGGGCTTGCTTATTCCTCCAGCCCTTGGTCATTGGCTGAAGGCCATAAAGGTAGGGTGGTGTGGAGTGCAGGTGACGTAAAGCCCCAGGTCCTCCGTGCTCTCTGCACGCGTGGGACGCAGGGATGGAGAGCAGTCTGCCTACTAAGAGTTGCTGGTGGGTGTGTTAGAGGCATATGGAACTGAGGAAAGGAGAAGAACATAGAAAGGGTAAATGGAGACCGGGCATGGTGGCTCACACCTGTAATCCTAGCACTCTGGGAGGCTGAGGTGGGCGGGTTGCTCAAAGTCAGGAGTTTGAAACCAGCCTGAGCAAGAGTGAGACCCCATCTCTACTAAAAATAGAAAGAAATTATAATTGGCCAACTAAAATATATAGAAAAAATTAGCCAGGTATGGTGGTGCATGCCTGTAATCCCAGCTACTTGGGAGGCTGAGGCAAAAGGATCACTTGAGCCCAGGAGTTTGAGGTTGCTGTGAGCTAGGCTGATGCCACGGTACTCGGTACTCTAGCCGTACTCTAGCCGGGGCAACAGAGAGATCCTGTCCAAAAAAAAAAAAAAAAAAAAGAAGAGAAGAAGCAAAGAGGGAGGGAGGAGGGGAGGGGAGGGTAAATGGATCCAAGGGGATCCAAGAGGCTGAACAGTGTCCATGACACTCTACCCCATTCCTCTGCAGTTTGGGTTCCTACCACTCTTTCCTCCAAGAATCGGCAAACCTTTATGCAACATATCTGCTTAGACTATCCAATGTCCTGTGACTTGCTTTTCTACCAAAACCATCAGTCTTTTTTTCTTTTTTGTGTTCACGTAGGGTGCTGAAGGAATAAACCATCAGTCTTACACATCTTTCAACATCAGTAAATATAGTGCGTCCTTAATATGGAATCTCACAAAATGAGATAACGTTATACATTGTTTATATTCTTTTAGCTTTTTAAATCTTTAAATGCTGATGATTTAATTGTCATAGATGTCCTTTTCTAGCCCTTTAATCTTTGAGATTCTGTTAAAAAATTTAAATGCTAGTTATTTTAAACTTTCCCCCTCATTTAATTTTATCTTTTACCATATTTTACCCTTGGAGTTCTTTTTTATACTTTCATCTAATTCTTTAACTGCATTTTCTAACATTCAGATTTTGTCTCATCACTGTTAATTTTAATCCATTTACTCATTTCTTTTATCTTTCCTAAACTTTCTAAATTTAAAAAATGTATGTTCCTCTTAACCTTTTGACATATTTTATCTTTATCATCTGTTTAAAATATGTAGCAGTTGAAGAACTTCTTGGAAAGAAGGCAGAATAAGCGCTCATTTGCATAACTCCTTGGAACTCATGGAAAAAGCAAAATAGTTCAATATATAGAAGAAAACTTACTGAAACAAGAGATTGGCCAAACTCCACACATTATCTCCAGAAAATCTGCTTATACAATTAAGTGTAGATAAAGTGAAAGAGACCACCGAGATTCTGCACATCCTACCTAATGTCAGGGAAATGAGGAGGAAGGTTCTGAAGGTCCAATCAGGCCCCATGCAGGACAAGGATGGGCAGCAAGGGCAGATTTGTTTTTTCACTGCCCCAGATACCCAAAGAGAAGGAGTGTGGCCTTTTGGGAAAGGCTGAGGAGAGAAAAATAAGTAATCTTAAGAGCCACCTGAATCTCTCGAAAGACTTTAAGCAAAAGTACACATGAACTGCCAAGCGAAGGACATGGACTGAGTCATGGGAAATCACATTGACCCAGATCCTCTTTGGAGCAGTCTGTTTGCCCTGAGGTGAGGGGTCCCTATTCAAGACACCCTCCGCCAGAGGCTCAGGAACAGGGGACTCAGCACACTGGCAGGAAAGCATGTGAGATGGTGGAAACAGACAGTAGGTTCCCACGGCCTCACTGCCTCTGTACCCTGCCTACTTCCTGAGGCCAGGCCTCCAGCCCAAGTTCTGAAAGAGAAAATCCAACCAGTGCTCAGAGAAAGAGGGAGGGGAGTCGAGGTGGACCCACCCACGTTATGAGGTGCTGGGGATACAGAAGACAGATGGGGGGGTGGTTCCTGCTCTTATTGAGCAAACATTCTAGTGGAGGGAGAAACACTGTACCAGTGAACACAGTACTAGGACAACATCCTAAAGGGATAAGTGCCATAGAGTAGAATGTTATAGGATAAGCAATATGTATGGAGAGGGCAGTTTAGATTTGGGGACACAAACACAGACCCAGACAGAGCTGCTTCTATTCACAGATGAACGTGCAGGATTAGCTAGCGCAGGACCTGTGAAAAATGGCAGCAAAGATTTTAACAGGGATTAGATGAAAAATAAAATACAATGGCTTTGTTCTTTCAGCAAGTGAGAGAACAAGGCCTCTCTCAAAACAAAAGATCAAATAATACAATAGACTTTCTAAGTCTCTGGATATTTATCCCAGAATGTAGCAGGAAAAAGGATGATTCAGTGTGGAGATACTTCCTAGGGGGAGTGGACCTAAAGGGGTGGAAATGAGGGTATCCCTGAGCGAATCTTCTATGGAGGGTGTTTTTATATATGTGTGGCTTCTTATTAGACTTAGGACAGTCCAGCAGGTTACAATTTTCTCCTCTTATATTGTGACTCCCAAACCCTAAGTGTGCCTTGAGTCTTAGGGACGGGGGCAAAGAGAAACATGACTAACTTCACAGTTACTCCCCTGCTTATGACCTCAAGAAGGCAACAGCAGGCCACTAAGAACTTACCTGGGAGCTCCAGGCTGGTCCTGCAGCTGCGGCAGTCATGGCCAGGCCTGGTGAGGCCCCATGATATAGTGAGAAGAGACTATGGAAGAACATAACTGTGACACAAGAGGCGTCTTGCCTGCCAGTAGGGAGACCACCAAATGAAGCGCAATGGCATAAAAGGCAAGATCTAAGTTCTGGCTCCTTCATTTTTGCAGATAATGCACTGTCCTGATCGCAAACTTGAGCCACGTCCTGGGACACACAGGAAGCTTCAGGGTGCCACACTCACTCACTTGCACTCTTGATCTTGCACATTCCTTGTTCTGATTGTTTGCTGGAAACAGTCTTAACCTAAGCATAAATCATCGTTCTTCCCTGTCTTCAATCCAAGATCAGCTTTTGAGGTTGGAGCTGACTTGGCCACCAAGTGAGCAGTAGCCCTGCAGAGCTGGGCAGGTGGGAAGCCACAGTGAACAGTTGTTGGTGGACAAATCAGGAGTGGACCCCAGATTTCCTCTGTCCCCAAATCTAAACTGCCCTCTCTATACATATTGCTTATCCTATAACATTCTACCCTATGGCACTTATCCCTTTAGGATGTTGTCCTAGTACTGTGTTTACTGGTACAGTGCTTCTCCCTCCACTAGAATGTTTGCTCAATAAAAGCAGGAACCCCCCCCCCCATCTGTCTTCTGTATCCCCAGCACCTGGCACATAGAAGTGCTCCATAAATATTTGCTGAATGAATAAATGAGTACAAAAAAGCCAAAAACATTAGAAAAATATTCATCTTGGGCCAGGCGCTCATGCCTGTAATCCTGGTACTCTGGGAGGCCAAAGTACCAGGACTGCCTGAGCTC